TTTGCTGGAGTGGGGCTGTCAGTATGTTAGCTGTGCAGTGCATTGTTTACGCGTTTTCGGACCGTTTCCTGACCGCACAAAATGTGACATGCAGTATTTTTCTATCGTAACCTGAACGGACTGCGCACGTGAGAACTGTAGCCCATAAAACACATAGGGATACATTGGGATGCATTTTTAGTGCAGGAGCGTACGGGTCAGGTCAGCACAGAAAACGGACGTCGTGTGAACAGGCCCTTAGGAAAGGAAGGTAGTGGGAGAATGAACCCTAGAATGCCATAGAGGCCCCAGAGCATGCCGGAGGCCCTGAATGTGGGCAGTGGTCAGAACCAAGGGAACATTGCAAAGAACGCTATCTCCCCTCTCCCTTACGCTAGGCATAGAAAGCAAGCTTGGAGAGCCCCCTTACCCTTTGCCCCTGTGCGTAGTATCTGCCACGTGCTACTTAATTGTGCCCCTAAGGGTCGTCCCAAATGTGCCAAGCACTGAGGAAGTTGGTAGCCAGGGTCTGTAGTGCTGTGCTGGCAATGCTGTAACAGGAGCAGGAGCTTCCAAATGCAACCAGCAGGAAGACTCAGGCCGAATGCCCAGGAAGGCCAACGCATGCGCAGCACATTCAGGAAGCCCAAGGCTGAGGGCTACCCCAGGGCCATTCTCTCAGCATCCCAGTTCACACACCAAAAAGGCGCCAAACTCCAATAAAACCTGCACTTCCCTTCCCCCCATTGCTGCAACACATCCTTTAATGTGTCACAGCCACACTCCATTCAACCCGCAGTTAGGGGCAGGAAGCAGCACACTTGGCACCAGGGAAGAGCAGGGAGGGGGCAATAGACCCTGCCCCACACACACAGCCATTTAGCTTGACTCACAGAGAAGCTATTGCGCTATTTAGCACAGTCAAATACAGTTTTGATTAGGGATACTCTGTGAGAGCGGGCGCTGCGGGTAGGAAAGCTCAGCCTCCTGTGACACCGTTGACAGCTGACTCCTTCCCTGCACTGCCAGCTCGGCATCCTGTGACAGCTGACAGCGAGCTCCTCCCCACCCTGCTTGGCCTCCTTAAAGTTGCTCTCCTCCCTGCTGACACAGAGAAGCGCCCAAGGGATACACCACATTTTCACCCAAAATAACTGTATTTTCAGCATTTTGGCCAAAGTACAATTAGCGGCCGAAATTTCAGTGCATCCCTAGTTCTAACCCCGGTCAGGTTCTCATTGCGGTCTAGAGCTACACCAGGGAGATCCACCCACTCTGTCCAGATGACCATTGTCACAGGATTTAAAGTGAGGGAAAATTCCAAATTTTGAGTTGTCCCTAGAAGATTCCATCTTATTCCATCCCAAAAAAAAAATGTGGCTTTAATACACATTAAAGTCATTCCCCCCCCCCCCCCCCCCCCCCCCCCTCCCGACCCACCC